TGTGCCGAGCAGCTAATTACCCCCTTCTCCTGTGGTAATCCAGCTTTCCCAACGGTCCTGCTGCTGCCAGACTGCAGAGCACCCACGGCCTGAAACTCCTCAGGGAGCTGTGCCATCCTTGTGGCAGCTCACCCCTGCCAGCAGGGATCCTGCCCGCTCCCACAACCTGGCCAGGGATCCACCTGTGGCTCTGCAGGTAAGGGGCACCCTCCCCACACTCACACTGAGGATCCAGCCCCCTTGGGGGTGTGGGGACCTCGTCTGGCTGTGTCCTCAGCCCTCATGCTCCATGTGATGCCCACAGAATGTGGGATGTAGGGTCCAGCCAGAGGCTGTCTGTGCTACTGTGGCAGATTTTGGCTTGAATGATGTTTTGGGCTGCAGCAGGGGGAGCTGGGCAGAGCTTGGGTCCCTGGTGCACCTGGCATGTCCTGGCAGCCTCCCCAGAGCATGCCAGAGCCAGCCCTGCTGCCGTGGAAGGATGTGCTGCACGACAGGAGCAGCTCTTCCTCCTCTGAGGATCCGAAGGCTCTGAGGAAGCAGCTCAGGTCTGCAAATGTTGTGTCACAGCCCCGCGCCTCCAGGGCTTTGCTTCCTGGAGTGCAGCTGCGTTTGCAGCCCTTCCCTGCTCCCAGAGCCTGGCGTGACACAGGTTTCCGAGCATCTGCCTCCACTGGGGTCAGGCACAGGTCAGGCCGGGCTGAGCCAGGGCTCTGAGTGACCACCAGCATCCCTGAGCCACGGACATCCTTGTCCCCTGCACTGTCCGGCAAGGAGCGGTCCCAGGCACTGGGGAACTGCAATTCCCTTTGTCCCCTCTGCGTTCTGCTGGCTCTGCAGCCCCGCAGGCCCCCGGCATCGCCCCTGCTCTTGGCTCCGAGGTGCTCGCCCTGGGCAGGGCTGCTCAGGGCTTGGCTCCTGCCCTGGCTGCCCACTGCCACTGATGTGGGGCACGGCAGGGTCGGAGGCTGTGCCTGGCAAAGCAGCATGGAGAAGGGAGGAGTTTTGCCCCGGATGCCCAGTTTCCAGCTGTTAAGGGTTATACCTGTTTGTCACTTTTCCCTGCAGCCACAGGAGGTGGATTTCCCCCTCTCTACAAACAGGAGTTGAGTCCCAAGTGGTCTGGGGCTTGGAGAAGATGATCAAATAGAGCTGTAAGTGCATCCTTCTGGGACATCTGACTGGGGGCAGCTGGGGACGGCCACCCCTGTCCTTCCCTGTCCTCTGGGGTCCTGCCTGAGTCCCCAAGCCTGCGCCACATTCCTGGCTGCTGGTCTTTGCCAGGAGGTGGCAATGGGAGGACACGGCCACTCGGGCACCTTGCCAGAGCTGCACACACCCGTGTCCCGAGTGTCCCTGTCCCTCGGGCTCCCGGGACTCCCAGATCAGCCTCTTCCAGCAGCGGGAGGGCAGAGCTGCCCACGCAGGCGGGCTGGGCACGGCGATGTGCTGTCTGTCGTGTCTGCCGCAGCTCTTCCGCTTTCTCCCTCCAACCAGTTGGACCAGTGGGCCAGGACTGGTGCCCAGCCTCGCTGCAGTGAGGCAGCCGTGTCACCAGGAGACGAGGGGACAGGCAGGACGTGCCAGGCTCCAGCACACACAGGGCTCTGCAGCAGCAGCCTCCAGCCCGGGATAACCGGGAGCAGCTCCGATGGCACAACAGCGGGACATGGACCCCCGGACAGGTGAGTGGTGGCCTTTTCCCCCCTCAAGGGGCAGAGGTGGGATGTTCACGGCATGGGCAGCGCTTTGGTGACCTTCCTCCCCTCTGCCCCGCCAGCTGGGGCTGGGGCTCACCGCTGCTGCGGCTCTGTGAGCAGCGCTGCTCGGAGCCGTCCCTGGGATGCGGGGATCCTGCTCCCGAGGGTGCCAGGGCAGGGATGCCTCCCACACACGGCACGGGGCAGGGCCTGGGCACGACGCCGTCACCCTCCCACGGGCAGCGGGCGTGGGGACGGGGCAGTTTCGGCAGCCGGCTGATTCAGGGAGGCTGCTCCTCCTGCCCCGCAGCTCCTGCCGTGACTCACGGCTGCTGCAGCTCCCTGAGCTCGCCCACACCGGGGGTCCCGGGGCTGCAGCTCGCCCCTGCCCCCGCAGAAACGCTGAGCCCCGCCGGGAGGGCCGGGTGTAAGGGAGAGGGAGGGCAGGGCTGGTCCCGCTCCTCTGCGATGCTCGGCGGCCCCCGGCTGTTTGTGCATCCCGCCAGGTGGAGCGAGAGCTGCAGGACGCCCTGGGACCTTGCTCACGGTGTAAACACTGTGACCACAGGGGAAATGTTCTCACTCCGCTGGCATCTGCCTAAATTTAGCTGCTCTTAGGTCATCCCTTTCCGCTGTCTCCTCGCTCCCGGTGCCGCATTGAATCCGGTCCCTGTGCCCGGCGCTGGCCGTGCTGCGGGGCAGTGCCCAAAGCCCCCCTGCCCCCCTGGCACAGCCCCGGCACAGCTCTCAGCACAGGAGCCGATGCTCAGCGGCGGTGCGGGGCTCCTCGGTGTCCTGACCATCCCGGGAACATCCGTTGGTGCTGGGTTTTGCCAGAGCCCGCAGCACGGAGGGGAGGGATGGAGCGGTGCCGAGCCCGCAGAGGTCCCGCACTGCCCCGTCCGTGTCCCCGTGTCCCTCGAGCTGCTCGTCCTGACAAAAGCATCCTCTAGAGGGAACTGCCAGCCCAGAAATGGCTCTAGCGCCACCAGGAAAGGAGCATCACCCCACGAGGGCGTGAGCGGAACCAGGAGTTAAGGTAGAGCACGGTCAGGGTGGCCACCCCCCTTCCCAGTGACCGTCCCACCTGCCAGCTCACCTGGGGACAGCGGTGCTCTCCGTCATGCGGCTTTGGGGCCCGTGCCCAGCCCTGGCAGCCCTGCCTGCCGTGGGGACAGCACTGGAGAGCTGTACCCCAGCTCCCAGGTGTCCTGTCCCCTGCAGGGGACACCCAGGACCCCAAACCTCCCAGACGGGTCTGTCTGCAGAGCCCCTCCTCGCTCTGCTTTCCAGGACAAGAGCCCATCAAGGTGATCGGGGTTGTCCTGGGCATCGGGCTGGCCCTGATGATCCTGGCGAGTTTTGGCTACAGCTGCATCCGGTGGTACCGGAGGGGCCACTCCCGGCGCCGTGAGTACGGGCAGGGGACAGGGGACAGGGGGACAGGGGACAGGGGGAGAGGGGCTCAGAGCACGGGACTGCAGGGACTGGGGTGTGGGGAACGTGGGAGATGGGGTTGGGAGGCTCTTGGCCAAGCTGGGAACCTCCTGAGATGAGGAGGGGAATGCACAGTGATGTCCTGGTGATGTCCTGCTGCCTGTCCTGCCTGTCTCCACCCTGCCAAGCAGACTCACTGCAAAGCAAAGGTGGGTTCATGGCAAGACATGGCTCTGACACCTCTCTCTCCTCTTCCTCCTGCCACCCCAGGGCCCGACTTTGTCTTCAACCTCTACCACTCACGGTGAGTGATGCCCTGGGGGGACCAGGGGCAGGCTGGCAGCTCCCTTTGTGCAGTGCCAAGGTGTCACCCCCTGCTCCCCAGTCCCAAATCCACCCAGTTCTGCTGTTGGCAGGGGGCTGGCAGGGGTTGGAGGGGGACGGGCAGCTTGGTGACCTCTCTGCTTTCCCTGCAGCGGGCTGGGGTCGGTGGCACTGGAGCTGGTGCCACCATTCAGCATCAGTGGCTCACTGGGAACCTCGGGCTACGAGCCCTTCCACAACCAGGGGCCATGAGGTGAGAGCTGGGCTGGTGAGCAGCCAGGACATCCTCTTGTCCCCCTGTGCCCCCCCGTGCTGTGCCCCAAAGCCTCTGTGCTGCCTGTAGCCCCTGGGCATCACGGCTTTCCTCAGGACAGTCCCAGGGTTTTTCCAGCAAAAGTCCTGCCTGTGGCTCTGGGGCTTCAGAGGCTTTCCCTGAGCTCTGGTTTTGGTTTCTCCCCGCACAGGCTTTGGTTTGTGTTTCCTTCCCTGCTGTCCCTGGGATGGGACGTGTGGCCAGGGACAGAGGGATGGGGAGAAGCTCTTGCAGTGCTTCCTCTCGCTGCCTCTCTCGCTCATGGCCTGGCACCAACAGAAAAAGCAACCAAAACCAGCCGGGGAGGATTCCTGCATTTTCACTTCTGCAAGAAACATCTCCTGAATTGGCTGGATTTCAACTGAAATGGCAATGGTGCAGTTTCTGTTGCTAAAAAAGCTTCACAAAATGACAGAATCGCTGTGACCTCTGCAGATCATCTGGACCAACCCTACCCAAGGTCACCTGGAGCAGGTGACACAGGAACACAGCCAGGTGGGTTTGGAATGTCTCCAGAGAGGGAAACTCCATGAATTCCCTGGGCATCTCCTCCATCTGCAGTTCTCACTGGCTCTCTGCAGCCAGGGGTGCACAGGGGGGGCCTGTGGCCAGGGAGAGGGGCCCTGCTTGGCCAGTGGGGGCTGGCGAGGCACGGGGGGCCTTGGGACCATCTCTTTGCCAGTTTCTGTCGGAAGAAGAACAAAGAAAAACTCAAGAGAGCCACGTGGTTGTAGGGAAACCAGTGAGGATAGAGTGGGATTTCCAGAGAGTCAGAGGGACCATCTGTGCTCTCGGCTATCAAAGCTAAACCCTGTGGTCTGTGGCTTTCTCCTGGCTGAAAGGAGATCTCTGACTGCTCATGGAGAGGGGGAAATGCCCCCTCCTGGGGCCTGGGAGCCCTCCGTGGTGAGCAGGATCCAGCAGAGCCCTGCATGACGCAGGATCCAGCCATGGGGGCTGACGTCAGCGGCGTTTAAAAGAACAACAAAAAAAAGCCGTGTTTTTGATGACTCCGTGTTCCAGAGGAAGCTGAAAAAAATAAAAAAGAAAGCAAAAAGCTCTAACCCCCAAAATACACAGAGGCAGAAGAGATGGGGCCAGTGGAGGGGCAGGAGGAGGCTCCCAGTGCCCTCCACATCCCTGTGGGATGCAGGGATGGATCTCAAACGTGAGCAGCGCCACGGGAGATGGAAGAGAAGGAAACACAGCAAGGATCAGCCCCCTCCTCCTGCCTGCACTGGAAAAACTGAAAATAAAACCAAAAACCCTTCACCTGAAAACCACGTTCCCCAAGGAGGGTTTTTGCCAGCAGTTTTACTTCCCACCATGAAGGTTCCCAGAAATGGGGTGCCTTTTGGAAAAACTTCCCTGTGACCCAGGTGACCCAGGCTGAGCTGTTCGGTCTCATCCTGTTTCCATTCTGATGACAACTGTTCACGGCATCACAGAATCAGTTTGTTTGGAAAAGATCTCAGAGGTCATCGAGCCCAGCCCATGACAGAACACCACGTTGCTGAGCAGAGCCCTGACTGTTGTCTTTCCTCCACCCCTGGGTTTGACTTGCTCTGCTCCTGTCCTTCCCTGGTGATGTCCCATGGGATGTGCATCCCTGTGGAATCACTGTGATCAGCCCAGCCCCTTTTCCCTACTGCTCCTCTGGTGATTGTTCCCACAAACCCCCCAGGGAAAACCACCCAGGAACTCAGGTGTGTGAGGAGCTCTTGGAGAGCTGGCTTGGTTCTCCCTTTTCCCAGCTGTGACATGGAAATGCTCTTCACCACGTGAGGCAAATTGCCTCTTGCTGATGGGAAATGTCCAAATCCAGAAACAGAAAGCTCAGCTTGGCCTTAGGAGAGGATGAACAAATGGACCAAATAAATAACAGCATGTTTTTTCTGTATTTACAAATGAAATGCAATAAATAATGTCTGTAGACAGACCATAGTGTGGGTAGGAGTGCCCTGCTCATGCTGGGCTCGTAGGTGCATCCCATATCCTGTGCTGGGGCTGTCCCAAAGGGGCTGGATGCTGAAGGGTCTCTGCAGGGTCAGGAAAGTGTCTCGGCCCATCCCTGTGGGGTCAGGCAGGGCAGCAGCCCCGTGCTGCAGGGTGCTGATGTCAGGCTGACGTCTGCTTTCGGCCTCTGTGTTGTGAAAGGTTGGGAGGGCATCACAAGTGTGGGCATCAGCAGGAGGAGCCCAGCTGGCCCAGGAAAGGGGGAAGTGAAAGCACAGGACTGCCCCAGGCCCTGAGGATGGCCCTGAGCCCATGCTGGGCAGACAAGGCAGAGATGGCCGGTGTGTATCCCTGTCTCCCGTTAGCTGGACTGGCTGGAGGGATCACTGGGGGTGCCCACAGCAGGACTGGGGCCAAAGCAGCCCCACCAGTGGCTGAGCTGGTGCTCCTGGGCCGTGCTGGGCCTGGCACTGTGAACATTCAGGGGTCGGGGGTAGCTTATCCAGTGGCAGACGAGGTAGTTGGGTCAGAGCGCAGGGCTGTGGTCCCCAGGGGACAGGTCACAGGCAGCTGTCCTTGCTGTCCCTGCTGAGCCAGCTCAGGGGCGTGATGGGCAGTGTGATCCAGCTGGAGCTGAGGCTGGACACAGAGGCTGTCCCCAGGAAGGCAGTGTTGTTGAAGATGTTCAGGTTGAAGGGAGTTTTCAGGTCAGGACTGGCTTTGGAGGTCAGTGGATCACCTGGAGCTGCCCAGCTCAGCAGAGTGGGGGCTTGGGGCCCCACCTGGCTGGAGAAATCCCATTCAGGGGCTCCCCATGGAGCGAGGTCCTGTGTGAGGGGATGCTCGGGCGAGGGCTGCTTCAGGTACCCTTTGGACACAGCCAGCTCGGAGCACTCCATGTCCAGCACGGTGTCGGTGCTGCCCAGGCCCTGCACGGACCCTGCACAGCCCGAGAGGGGCACTCCCTTGCCCGGGGCCTGCTCTGGCTCCCCGCTGCCCTTGGACTGCTGCAGGTACCCCCGGAACTCCACATCTTCCTGGCAGAGCCCGGGCTCCCCTGGGCTGGCATTCCCACTGCCAGAGGAGCAGCCAGGAGCAGGGCAGGGGCTCCCCAAGCCCACCCCGCTGTCCTCAGCCTTGGGCAGCTGCTGCCTGTAGCCCTGGGGCTCGGGGCCCGTGGAGCAGCTCAGGGATGAGGAGGAGGAGGAGGAGGAGGGGATGTGCAGGCAGATGCCGCTGTCAGTGCTGGTGCCGCTGCTGTCTCTGCTCCCCGTGGGCCCCAGCAGGCACAGCTGGTCCTTGGGCCATGCTGGGAGCTTCCAGCCCTGCTCCAGGGGCAGCTGGGCTGTGCTGGTGCTGCTGTCGGGGCTGCTGTCCAGCCGGGGCTCCTTCTGGCACAGGAAGAGCTGCTGCGTGGGGTCTGCATCCAGGCTGCCCGAGGATGGGGGCTCCTGCTCCACCCAGAGCGAGCTCTGCTTCATGAAGGACTTCTGGGAGGGAGAGAAAGAGGGGAGTGAGCTGTGCTTCATGCCTGCCATCCCTGCCTGCCTCTCCCAGCGCTCCCCAAGCCTGCACCCTTGCTCTGGCCCCAAAGGGTCCCTTACCAGGACTGACGGTGTCCTCACGGGTTTCCTTACATAGGTACACGCCAGCAGAGCCCCCAGGAGGCCCAGCAAAAACAGGGTGAGGAAGGAGGAGCTGAGGATGCCCGGGAGAAGCTCTGCGCTCCCTGCAAGAGAGGACGTGACCAGGTGAGGGGGGAGAGGGGACTCCTCAGTGCACACAGCACCGAGAGGCTGCCCTGGCGTGGATCCCCACACCCCCAGGGCCAGGAGGCTGGGGAGGGTCGGCATGCCATGATTCCCCCCTTGCCTGGGTCCCACTTACTGTCCCTGTGGCCGGTGGTGACGCACTGCTCGTCGGTGCGCATGGTGGGGACGGGCCTGTTGGCCATGCCGGGCTCCACGCTCAGGCAGTACTCTGTGAGCCACAGCAGCTCCCCCAGGGTGAACTCTGGGCTGCTCTTCACCACTGTGAACTGCAACAAACAACACAGGCTGGCACCTGAGAGCCCCCAGATCCTGCTTCCCTCCCTCCTCCTCCTCTGCTGTCCCCAGGGGAAAGTCCCCAGGGTGTGATACGATAATGATGACAGCAGCTAGATCCAAAATCCCCACAAGAGCTGGAAACCTCCTCCATAAAACACACAAAGAAACCCCTCTGTGCTGCTGTGGCTGTGAGAAAGGTCAGCATTTACTCCTACAGAAGAGCATGCCTGAACAATCTGGTTTTCGAGCAGCACCGTGTGGGACAGACGGGGACAACACGGGAACAGCAGCTCCTCTCACCGTGTGGTTGTCCCGTGACCTCCTGACGTACACGTGGTACTGGGTCATTTTCTTCTGGAAGTCTGTGTACTCCACGGTGATGTTCCCGCGGTGCAGGAGCAGCTGCAGCCGCACCTGGATGGAGTTGCCCGTCACGGAGAGGCTCTGGCTCGCCAGGCGCAGGCCAGCTGGAATCAAATCAGTCACAACAGCAGGTCAGGGCTGTTTTCTGTTCACAGCTCTCAGCCTGTGCAGCACCAGACTGAGCCGTGACTGCCCCACCATTCTCGGGTTGTCCCATCATCCTGCACAGCCCACCTGCTCTCCAGGAAGGTGCGGAGGGAAATATCCCCGCTCTCACTCATCCCGCAGCTCTTTGCAGGCAGTTTGGCATCCTGACCATCCCCAGCAACTCCAGCACAGGGTGGAGGCACAGCCCAACCCACCTTCCTGTGGGGAGAAGACGCTGCTCCTCTCCCAGGGGGACGTGAGGTTCCCGGACACGGCCCTGACCCGCGCGAAGTAGCGCTGCTCCTGGTCCAGGGTGTAGTAGGTGAGGTCACAGGAGTGCTCCGAGCTCTTCCCACACTCTGGGATGGCTGTCCAGGGGACAACTGAGCCATAGCTGTGGGGAGAAGCACCAGGGGTGAGCAGAGAGCTGGAATCAGACCCCGGGCAGGGCAGGGCCCTCGCGTTGCCCTCGCTGTTACTCACACTTTGTACTCCACGTCGTAGCTGGCATTGCTGGGGCAGCCGTGCCCCGGCTCCCACCTCAGCAGGTGCCACGCCACCTCCGCAGCAAAGCGCACGGCCCGGGGCTTCTCCAGCTCCTCACCTGTGGGGCACACGGGGAGCTCAGGTGGGAGCACAGCCCTGGAGCTCCAGCCCCACAGCAGCCTCAGGCCGGCCAGGACAGCATCACCCATGATGGGTGACGTAACAGCGCTGACCACCCGAAACGTGCAGGCCTGTGCCCAGATTTCTCTTTCCAACTTCCAGGATTTGCTCAGCCCCCTGTTTTCCTTCCTCTTTCTTTGGGGACAGCTCAACTGGGGCTGCTCGGTGCTTTCCTGCCCCAAAAGGGAGCCGTATTTGCATCCCTCATCCCCTGCCTCTGTTTGGACTCAGCTTTCCTGTTTTGCTCATCTGCTGCCTGGGTGAAACCAGACTTTTTCACACCTCCTGCCTGATCTCGGTGTTCTCACCTGGCAGAAAAGCCCCGCTGATAACATCTGCCACCTTTCCCTTGCAGGCTGCCCGGGCAGCTGCTGCCTGCCGGCAAGCAGCCAGCCCAGCGCTGTGTCCCCGGTGTCCCCTTGTCCGCTTGTCCCCCAAGCGGGGCTGGAGCCTTTGGGCTCCCAACCAGCAGCGAAAGGCGAGCGCCGAGCAGGGAGCCCCGGCCATACCCCGCTCCAGAGACACCAGCAAAGGTGTCCAGGCTGCGGCTCCAATCTCACCCCATCCCAAGGAACCCACCCGGAGCCGCGGGGCTCGGCCCCAGCCAGCAGGGAGGTGAAAAGCGGCCCGAGAGACTCACCGTGGGTCGGGCAGGGGAGGAGCAGTGCCAGGCACAGCGCCAGGGCGGTGGCACAGGGGACCATGGCCCCTCAGCATCCTCCGTGGCAGCAGGGCGAGCGCGGGCCGGGCTGTGCCCCGGCAGGAGCCGAGCACTCGGTTTTCCCCCGGGGGCTGGCTCAGTGACGTCTCGGAGGCGTTCGAGCTGCACCAGGAAAGTCACTGAGCAGCCACTTCCACTTCTCTTCGCTGTCCACCCACTCACCCCCAGCCAAAGCCTCAGCCTGGGCTGGGCTTTTCCGACAGAGTTTACAAGGAAGAATTCTGGGGGCTTTTCTGAGCAAAGCGGGGCCGTGCTGAGAAAGACAATTACGAATAGAAGAGTGATGTTTCTGCCTTTGCTGCTTTGCTGTGAAAGGAGATGTTAAAAACACAGCACAGGTGAGTGATAGCACCGAGGGTGACCTGTCCCAGGGGTTTTCCCGAGCACAGCCCCGTGTCCTGTCCTGCCAGCAGCTGAATCCAGCCACGTTCTAACCAGCCCTGGAGTCCCAGGGGGGTTCTGGCTTTCCCTTCCTTTGGGCTCAGCCTCCTGCCTCAGCCTGCAATGCCCCTTTCACCATTTCTGGGGCTGAGTGACAAGCTCTGGGCTGTCCTGTGTCCTGCAAACACCCTCACACAGGGGTGACATTGGAAATCCGGCATCACACAGGGGCTGCCACTGTCCCCAGGGCTCTGGTAGCCCCCCAGGTGTGTCTGTGACCCCATGGCTGTGGGGTCTGGCCCCACAGTGATGTCCTGCCTGTCTGGTGATGCTGGCACCTGATTCATCACCCAGCACACTGTGTGTGAGTGCTCTGCTTTGCCTCAGAGCCTGCTTGAGGGCTTTCCTGGGGCCCTCATGTGATGAAGAGTGATCTTCCACAAAAAGAGGAATTTCCCACTGGGGAATTAGTGGAAAGGACGCAGATAAAAAGAAGAGAAACCAGAAGTGCTCTGGACAGACTCAGAGAGCATATAGGTGGGCACAAACCAGCAGGCTCCTCTTTGAAGAACCATCTTAAAGGCCTGAAGTGGGAGATTTCTCCTGTTTTCATTGACTTATCTTTTCTGACAAAGGGCAAGGGCTTCCACAAACTTGCAGCCTGGCTGGAGTACCAGCGGCAGATCCCCTCCCTGCCCTGGGTTTATTCCCATCCAGGGCAGAGCAGCTGATGTTCTGCCACTCTGCTCTTGGCCCCTGAGTCACATCAGAGCTGAGGAGTCCTGAGATGAAGCACAGCCAGTCCCACAAAAAGCCACAGATTGTGTTTTGTGTAAGACAATGACAATTAAAAGCAACAGGACCAAAACACAGGGAAGTGGAAGTTCTGCGGAAAAGCTTTCTGTGGAAAGGGGCTGGCCCTGTGGGTGAGGCGGTTCAGAGCCTTGGGAGAAGAGGTTGGCAATTTAGAGGAAAATGAAAGAGGCTGAGGAGGAACGAGAGTTCTGCAGAATGTTTGGATGGTGAGTGGGACTCGGGCTGGAAGCTGAGCTCTGCAGGGAGGGCACTGCCAGGTGCCACACGAGAGGCTGGTGAGGGGACAGTGTGAGCTGGGGGTGACGTGGCTGACCCTGAAATGCCTCCCTGTGAACACACCACAGAGAAACCCAGCCCAGGAGCGCCTGGGCCTGTGCATTTCCCTCCCTGCTGTCCCCCAGGAAGCTTTCCCAGGGTGACAGCAGGGTCAGACAGGTGATGCTGCACCGAGCAGGGCAGGGATGGGGCCCAAGGGCTGGCTCTGCACAGCCCTGCCGCAGGACAGAGCGGAGCAGAGTGATCCTCATCCCAATTCCCTCGTGCCTGGAGGTCAGAGCAGCTCTCCTGGGCTGGTGGAGCCGGCTCTGGCTGTGTGCTTTAGCTCCTGTTTAATGGCTGGGAGGGCAGGAGGGTGCAGGGAGGGCTCACAGCAGTGTTACCAGCAGGAAAGGTGAGGATTTCACCTGGGAGCTGTGTTCATGCTGACATTTACCATCAGGCTGCTGGGTTCAAACCACACACCCTGCTCTCTGGAACCTGCTCTCTGTAGGTGTAGCCATGAACAATTCCTGGAGATGTTTCCTGAGAATCCCTTTCTGAAGAAGATGCAGCAGCTGAGGAGGGCATGCCTGGCTCAGGGGTGCAGCTCAGGGCTTGGCCACCCCTGCAGAGCCTGCAGTGGCACAGAAAGCAAACAAAAAAACCCCAAAAAACATTCCTGCCTGTGACAACTACTGAGGAGTGCGCTGTGGAGCGAGGGCTGGCTCAGAGCCCCTCTGTGAGCTGGGATCCTGAGAGCAGGAGGGGTCAGAGGGATCCAGCCCAGGCTTTCCAGCCTCAAAAGGAAGGAGCTTTCCAGCAGGGCTCCTCCAAGCTTGGATGTCCCTGCTTGTCTCCTGCCCTTCTGATGAGCAGGTGTGGGTGGGGAGCTGGATGAATAAGGGACTTACACTATGAATAATGCCAGGAGAAATGTGTGGCATTGAGGGTCATGGCTCTGGCTATCAGAAAGCACAGAATGAAGCTAGGCCCTTCTCCAGGAAAATCCAGGTATTTTCACCTGTTTCTACCCGAGTTCTTGGTTAAGCACAGCATCCCCCAGGTTTTGCCTGCAGGGGAGGCAGGAGGCTCCTGGAAGAAGCATCATTCCATTAGCAAAGGAATTAAAAGGCCTCTAAAGAAACTAGAGGAAAATGGCATTTCGTTTCCTTTGGAACAGAGAACTCTTGACTTCTGGGTCACACCAGAGAGGTTCTCCTGGGGCTGGGCATGTCTGTCCATCCCCTCCTGTGTGCTTGTCTGGGCAGGAGAGCTGTGGGTGAGTGGGTGGTGGGCACAGAGGGGAGGAAGGGGGGTTTGGGTGGGCAGGAGGGCAGCGGGGAACCCCGGGATGCTGCTGTTCCCTGGGGCCAGGTCTCACCCTGCAGATTCTCGGCGCTCGGCTGTCCCTGCCCCACATCCCTGGGCCTGCACAGGGCAGGTGTTTTGCAGGCTGCGCCTGGAGCAGTTGGGAAACCGGCGGCGCCGGAGCCGGGCGGCAGGTCCGACAGGTTTGCTCCTGGCGCTGGCACTGACGTACGAACCCTCTCGCCAAACACCTCCTGGCCCGGCCCCTGCTCGGCACCGCGCTGCTGGCATGGCCGTGCCGCAGCTCTGAGCCCAGCCCAGCCCCGACCCCGGCCCATGGACGGCAAAACCTCCCCGGTAAGTGCGGGCGGCTCCGATGGACCCGCTCCCCTCGGGCTTTGGTGGAGGGACCGGGCTCTCCCTCGGCTCCCCGGGTGTTCCTTCGCAGCAGCCGGAGGGAGCAGGAGCCGGGGGAGCTGCCTGAGGAGCTGCTGCCCCCGGCACCTCCCTGGAGGGAGGGCAGCCAGCAGCATCCCTGCTGCTGCCCTGTGCTGGCAGAGGTGTCGAGGCTCTCGGGTGCTTTGCCACGCCGGAGCTACGAACCGAGGGGACCAGCTGGTGCTGGCAGAGGGATCTGGTGCTGCTTGGCACATTCCCGAGCCCTCCGGCACTTTCCAGCGGCACTGCACTGGTGGGCACGGCCCTGCTGCTCCCCTCGCCTGCTCTCCGGGCAGTTTTCCTGCGCCCTTTTTGGGCTGGGCTGACTGGGACCTGCTCAGCCCTGGATGTAGGGCTTTGCTGAGCATCCTGTCATGAGGAAAACATCCATCCCAGCCGGGCACCGGGCGAGGCAGCGAGTAATTACCGAGCCGAGCAGCGCCGGCCGTGCCAGCGACATCCGGAACGAAGGCGGCGGTGCCGGCGTGGATGGGGCTCCGGGGGAGGCAGAGCTGTGGGCTCCTGTTGGATGTCAGCTGGCTCTGAGGAGATGCAGAGTGGTCCCAGCTCTGGGCAGCCCCAAAGCAGGGTGGCATCACTGCGTCTTGGTGATAGTGGGGCAGGCACTGGGATGGCCACACGCAGAGGCAATTGGCCAATACTGGACAACCCCACCGGGCCACCTTGGCATTGTCACTTGGGTTAAACGGGCCATCAGGAGTGCCAGGAGCCACCCTGGGCTCTGCAATGGCAACAGCGTCTCTTTGTCTTTCCAGGCCTCTGTTTGCCCCTCTGTGGAGTGAGGTGAGCAGTGGTTACACAGCCCTGGAACATTTTGGCTCTGTGGCCAAAGGCTGCTCACAGTGGCACAGGATGACCTGTCCCTGGCCACATCGGGCTGGCTCCTTCGACAGTTGGGCACCTGCACTTGCAAAGTGACGCTGGCTGGCTTTGGGATTTCACTTTGCTGTGGGTATCAGGGTCTTGGCAGTGTCCTGTCCCTGCTCTGGTGCTGGGCTCTGTCCCCTCCCAGGTAGGCCCCACTCAGCAGTGGCACTTGAGCAGGACATTGTCACCCAGAGGGACTAGGGGCTCTCACAGGCTGGGGACATCTTTGTCCCTGGCGAGGACAATGTCTCGGTTGTGTGCTGGCTGAGCTGCCCCGCACGGACAATCGGCACTTCACAAGCAGGTGAAGGAGTTCCCAGGCTGGACACAGGGCTGTGAGCAGCTGGAGCCGTGCCGAGCTCAGCTGGGGAGGAGGATCTGAGGCAGCTCCTTCCAGCCAATTTAATCCAGGCTGCCTTGCTCGTTCTCCTCCTGATGCTCTGGATTTTTGGGAGTTCCTGTGTCCTTCCGCTCCCCCAAGACATGGCTGGGCCCTGGGTCTGGTTGCAACACCCAGGTGTTCCCTGGCTTCCGCTTTCCCTCCCACTCCGAAACTGCGGGTGACTGCTGGCTGGTTTCCCTGCAAGCTGAGCCTCCAGCCCAGCCTGGGTTACCTTTCCCCTGGTGATTGTCCTCTGCTGCCGTGGGTTTGGGGGCCTCCCCTCCACACCAGGGTGTGGAGCTGCAGGTCAGTGCATGTGCCAGCTCACGGTGCAAAGGGGATGGGCACCTCGGTGCTGCTGTCCTTGGTTTGGGTGCCTGGCCCAGCTCTGCTCCGAGCCTCAGAGCAGGGACAGGGAGTGAGGTGCTGCTTGCACTCCTGACAGGTTTAGCAAAGGGCTCGTGTTGAAGACAGGCAGTGTCCACTGCCTGCAAGGTGAGCAGAGCTGGCCAGGAGTCCCTGAGTGTCCCCAGTGCCCCTCCTGGGTGTCCTGTGGAAGCCATGGGTGCCCCAGACGGCGGCTGGCTGTGGCCCTCTCCCCACAGCTGCCTCT